ATATATTTAATAAGTATTATCAGGTATTTGGTAATTTTAACTAAATCATGATAATGAGAAATTAAAAAATTAAAATTAATTAAAATCAAATTTTTAAATTATTATTTTTTTATTTATAATTTATACTTGCATATTGCACTTTATATTTTAAATAGGTAATGAACGGATTATTTTTGTTTATATGCCGGACATTTACTTATCCGACTTATAAAATCAATTTAATATCTGAAACTCTTGTATTGAGAAATCAGAAATTAAATTGAACAATATATTTTTAATCTTATTTGTTACTCTTTGCAAGCTTTATATAATTCTCATAACTAAACTTAAATACGAGAAAGGTATTTCACATCGTATAGTGATGAACGAACAAACTAACATATCCTTGCGTGCTTACGCGAAACTTTACACGACTATCTTACCAAAATTTGTTAATAATTACCAATTATTTTATCAAACATGTTGACCTAACTAAATCATTTAATAATAGTTATCAAATATCTAATAATCTTAAATTGAATGATTTAGTAATATTTACAACAATTTAATACACATTTAATAACAATCATCAAAGATTTTATGATAAGTATTAAATATTTAATAATTATTACTAAATTGCTTAATTGATTCAATTGCAAACAAAATTTGTTTGCAACCAGACCAATTGAAGATTTAATAATTATTATAAAATACGGTAATATTTATCAAACATTCAATTAAAATTCACAACTAAATATATTTGATAATTATTACCAATCAGTTTTTTCAGTGTAATCTCGACGTGTCTATGTTGGAGCAAGAAATTTCCCAGCAGCAGCTGGAGTGTTTCTCGTTACGGAGATAATCTCCCCGCGCGCGTGCAAATGGATCGCTCGAGAGCCTGTGTTTGCGCTGGCTGATGCACCGGGTCCATCCTCGAGCACCTCGCGACTTGGCGATAGATACGAGGGAGCCTCCGAATAGATTCGCGAGCGAATCGCGTTCGTGGAACCCTCTCGTGAAGCCGGCCGCTTATAAATAGCACCCTCGCCCGCGTCGGAAGAGGATGATCGACGAGAATCGTCGGAGAGAGAGAGATGGGGCAAGCGCGAGATCTATTTCCGATGGATGGTTCTCGCGCGCCGAAACGACTCTTCTCTAACTCTTCCATTGTTATCGAGATCGCTTTTCCCTCCGCAATTCGCATTCTTTCTCGTTGTACTCTAATTTCGCGGCAAATTGCATCTCCGCAGCTTCGCGCGTAGATACTATTGGGCGATAGATGAAAACTCTTATTTCTTCTCACTCGAAAAAAAAAAATACTTTGCTGACGCTGGATTTTTAGATTCGCGATAAAAGCTATTTTTTTTTATTTGTCACAACCTGCAACATGTTGGAGAGCAAGGAATTTAAGAATTTTAATTAAATAATATATATTAGATAAATTATATAATATTGATCTAATATGACATTTATTTAATTAAATATTTCAATATTTGAATTAAAAAAATAATAATTTAGTTGAACGATTTAGTCAAGTTAACATTTTCTTTTCTCGATATATAGATTTTCTTTGAAATTTTACTAGAGTTCAGATATCTTTGTTATTTAAATTGATTAAGCGCAAAATATTTGTTAATTATTGATCTATCTCGGTTAATTCTTCGCAGCAATTCTTCAGTGCTCAAAATTAAATTTGTCAATTCACTCAAATTTATTTTACCAGCCTCTCATAGAAAAAGAGAAGAGTGAGATATATCGAAATAATAAAATCGAAAACTTGTATTATTATCAGCTGATGAACAATACTCGAGAAAGCATTTTTTCTCCACTTTCCTCACAAATGACAAATTTCAGACATTGTCCAGCGCATTAAATAAAAACTACTTTCCTGAAAAAAAAATAGAAAAGAAAACGCACGTAAAATAATATTGTCCTTTTTATTTTTTTAATTTTTTAAATTTATCGTCTGTATTTTCTTTCATACTCGAGAAAGGGGGAGGAAAATATGTGCGCACACATCGCGTGCACCGCGTACGGGGGAGGGTAATTTCAGGCTACGGGGGGGCACGCACGTAGATTGCGCGATCGACGACGGGGATTAAAGAATGATCGCGCGCGACGCGGAATTAGGCACGGACTGAAAATAAACCGGAATGCGAAATCGAATTTGCGTGAGCGCGGCCGCCGCCACGTTTCCCGTTTGCTTTTACGAGACATTTGATGGTTACGAGTCCCATCGTTGTTCTTTCCCCCTTTTTTATTTTTTATTTTTTATTTCTATTTCATTTTTACTTTTTACTACGATATCGCCGGCTCTCCGCCCGTAGCTTCGGAGGGTATGTTACAACACACCATACACACACACACACACACACACACACAGGATACACTTATTATACAATATACGCGACATGTATATGTACAAACATATATATATATATATAAATATAAATATATATAGATAGATAGATGAACATTTACATACGTTTAAGGATATGTACTAGCCTAGTGCCTACTATGTTCGTATTTATGAGGAGGATAAAGCTCGTATAACTCGTTCTTTCCCTGTGCGACGCATTCAACATTGTAAATATAACGGAACGACGTAAAAAATATATGTGAGTGTTTAAGGAGAAAAGAAGAGATACGGATGAACGATCCGAGCCAGCGAGGAAGCCACCTTCAAATTGTCTCTTTGTGTCGGGAAAAAAAAGAAAAAGAATTATCGATTTCGGAGACCTTCGAAGGGATCATCCTTCTCTCGAAACGAGGAGGGTCGATCGAGAACGAGAGAGAGAGAGAGAGAGATCCTTCTCGAGATCGCTCGCAATTTGAGGTGGTTTCTTTTTCGGCGGTCTTATTTATTTTTTCGCTCTTACATACATTTTTCACCGCCTCTCTTTACTTTACAATGATAATCCATAAACTAAACCACGGGAAGCGACGCGCGCCGCCGAAAACGGTAAATATCCCCTAAATAAAGTACAAGCAAGTGCAAGATGTGGCCGCTAACTAACGTAGTTGAGAGCTCTGTGGGAAATTGGCAGCAGGAACGAAAGGGAGAGAGAGGAAGAGGCTCGAGTGACAGAGAAGCGAATGCGTGTGCGTGTGCGTGGAACAAAACTAAATGAGGTACTCGGAGTGGTGGGACTCTAGATTGTGGGTGCGGTAGTCTCAAGGGCGTGCCTGGCGTAGTGAATACTTTTCTCCCCCTTCTCTCCCACCTTCCTCGAGCTTTTTAGCACGGCTCTCGCGTTGTGCGGTGTTCAAGGCGGGATTCTTCCGTCTCTTTCTGTCGCTCTGCGCTAATTATTGCGATCCATTAACTGGCGTGTAACACATTTATACAGGGCCATTTTAATCTACGCACTGAAATATCTCAAAATCCATAGGTTTAAGACAAAAATGTTTCAGACAAAAGTTGTATGGCTTGAAGAGGAACATGAGGTGGTGCCATTAGTTTGAGCTTGAAGAGTCATCTGAAAGTCACGTGAAGATTGCCTTCAATTTTTTAAATGGGACACCCTATATACTTTTGCATATTCTTGTAGCTTATTTCGAGAGCTTTCCGAAACACTATAATTAAGTTAGTTTTCATTAAGTACTTTCCGAGTTGTGAGGCTTGAAATAATTTTTCAATTTTACACAAACCATAAAATATCTAGTAAAATATTCATTTTTTTATTATCTTATCTTAATACTTTTATGTAGAAAATAATAAGAGGAATCAATTGGTGTAAAGAAAACACACACAGTTGTTTTTAAGAAAAAATATGCAATTGTTAATTGCGAATTACAAATTTTCTTCGAAACAATTATGTGTTTTCTTTACACCAATTGATTCCTCTCATTATTTTGTACCTAAAAGTATTAAGGCAAGATAATGGGAAAATGAATATTTTACTAGATATTTTATAGTCTATGTAAAATTAAGAAATTATTTCAAGTCTCATAACTCGAAAAGTACTCTGTGAAAAAATACTTTATTATAGTGTCTTGGAAAGCTTTTGAGGCAAGCTACAAGAATATGCAAAAGTATGTAGGGTGTCCCATTAAAAAGTTCAGGTGACTCTTCAAGATCAAACTAACGCACCATCTTATGTCCACCTTCAAGCCATACAATTTTTGTCTGAAACATTTTCGTCTTAAACTTATGGGTTTTGAGATATTTCAGAGTGCGTAGATTAAAATAGCCTACCCTGTATACGTAACACACACCCATGCACATACACACACACACATTCACTGGCACATTCATACGCTCTGTGTGTCTCTTTAACAATCGACAATCACCACTTGTATGTCTTGTATGCCGTTGTTGCCTTCTGGTTTTTGGTTTCCTTCTTTGATTTTGAAAGACGGATTTTTGCCGCATCTTCCCCCTCCCCTCACACACAACCCTCCCCCGCCGAGATCGTGTTTCTTTTCAGGAGACTAAAATATCATTGTTCGTGGAACGTGTTTGGTGATGCGACACTCGTCATCTCTCTTTCGAGGTACCAATTATCCTAATTACTGCATCAACGTGGCGCATCTTTTTTTTTTCCCTCCGCGTATATTTGTACATTAAATTATACTCGTGTCATCACGTGTCGTGTAAATATTATTTATACCGACATTAATCAATCGCACACGTGATAATGATCTCGTGTATTAATTAGACACACTTGTCTCCTATCTCAACCGTTCGTCTTGAGCAAACATAAAGTGTCGACGACTCTCTCTCTTGCTCGATAACAATTTAATTGCTTTGATGAAGCCTCTATATGTCTTCCAAGGAAAAAAAAAAAAAAACATACCAGTACGTTTTCTCAAAGCACGTCCTCGTCTCGCTCTCTCGCAACCGGCGATGCTGATGAGAATCACCGACCTCGGTCCGTCCGCTCGATTGTCAATCATCACCAGACATCGTCCCATGTCGCTTTTGCACTAACGGACTGCGATACATAATATTACATAAATATGCAAGCGCAAACGACGGATACGTTTGAGCGATCACCATTTTGTCGTCTTTCAAGGTACAGACGCGAGCGTCCTGCAGCATCAGGGCCCGTTGCTGACGAGCGGGGCCGTGATCGGTATTGTCGTGGCGATGATATTCATCGTCTTCATCATCATCGATTCCATCTTCTGCTGCGTGCGCAAGACAGGTGAGCCGGCATTAAATCACTCGCCGAATAGATTCTCTCTCCCATTATGTATTATACAACGCGAGCACACGTGTACGTGTATTTGACTCGTGTTGTCAATTATGCACGATCGTACCAATTATAGTCATTATTTTCGTCATTAATTATTTGCCGATCGCGCATTCAATTATGAAGCTTCGATATTGGTCATTATGATTAATATATAAACGTCACTTTTGATGTCAATTGAATTGCATTCGACAATTGATGAAGATAATGATGGAAATAATGTAGGGTGAACATTTACAAGAGAATATCGAGATTCCGAATTTATTCCAGGGAAATTTGTACCGGATTTTTTTTTATCAAACGTAATAAAAATTTATATACGCGACATTTTATTATCGAATATTATAAAAATTGTATAAATCAGGGTATAAGTCTATTAAAATCTTGTAAAGAAATCCTCTGAACATTTCTTAATCTTCCAGGTATTTTTTTCAAAATTCCAAATAATAAAAATATTTTAAACATCTATCTGAATTTTATAAAATAAATTTTTTTAATCTTTTCTTGATTAAAGAACTGAGTAATTTTCCTAAGATAAATGTTTTTCATTTGCACAACTTTTCATTTTTTTTGTCGCTAAAAATAAAATATATTTCTTGCATATTCAATATTTTAAGACGTTGAATATCTTAAACAGAGACAGATATATATTTATAATAAATCTTAAACACACACGATTCACTCGATTTATTGATTAAATTATTTTAATTATTTCTAATTATTTTGTCAGGAAGAATTTTTTTCAAAATTCCAAATAATAAAAATATTTTAAACATCTATCTGAATTTTATAAAATAAATTTTTTAAATCTTTTCTTGATTAAAGTGTATTAAAGAAAACTGAGTAATTTTCCTAAGATAAATGTTTTTCATTTGCACAACTTTTCATTTTTTTTGTCGCTAAAAATAAAGTATATTTCTTGCATATTCAATATTTTAAGACGTTGAATATCTTAAACAGATACAGATATATATTTATAATAATCTTAAACACACACGATTCACTCGATTTATTGATTAAATTATTTTAATTATTTCTAATTATTTTGTCAGGAAGAATTTTTTTCAAAATTCCAAATAATAAAAATATTTTAAACATCTATCTAAATTTTATAAAATAAATTTTTTTAATCTTTTCTTGATTAAAGTGTATTAAAGAAAACTGAGTAATTTTCCTAAGATAAATGTTTTTCATTTGCACAACTTTTCATTTTTTTTGTCGCTAAAAATAAAGTATATTTCTTGCATATTCAATATTTTAAGACGTTGAATATCTTAAACAGACACAGATATATATTTATAATAATCTTAAACACACACGATTCACTCGATTTATTGATTAAATTATTTTAATTATTTCTAATTATTTTGTCAGGAAGAATTTTTTTCAAAATTCCAAATAATAAAAATATTTTAAACATCTATCTGAATTTTATAAAATAAATTTTTTTAATCTTTTCTTGATTAAAGTGTATTAAAGAAAACTGAGTAATTTTCCTAAGATAAATGTTTTTCATTTGCACAACTTTTCATTTTTTTTGTCGCTAAAAATAAAGTATATTTCTTGCATATTCAATATTTTAAGACGCTGAATATCTTAAACAGAGACAGATATATATTTATAATAAATCTTAAACACACACGATTCACTCTTTATTGATTAAATTATTTTAATTATTTCTAATTATTTTGTCAGGAAGAATTTTCTTCAAAATTGCATAAATCTCAAAAAATTCCACGTTTCTCATATTTCTCCAGAAAATAGACATTCTGTAAATGTACTAAAAAATGAATTCGAAAAATTCCAAGCAATCGTAAAATCATTGCATTTTTAATTGCATTTTTAATTTAATTTCATCATTGCATTTTTAATTTAATTTCATCGCTCTTTAATTGTTGACAATATTTTACAATATTTGCGTTTACTCTATATTTGTACGTTACAGGAATCATTTTCATTATATGCGAGCGATCTCGGCGGAAACCAGTCGACGAGGAGGATGCAAAGCTCGGCAGGTGAGTCTCGTATCTCGAAACCTACCGCTATTTGACATGTAAATGTATTTTACGAGATACTCTTTTTTGGATATACTTCTATATATATATATATATTATATACATACACTCTACACACCGCATCTCGTTCATACCATTACATATGTACTCTACATTGTGCTTTGGCAAGTCTAGCGCTACTTAATCGCGTTATCGAAACTTTGCACCCGTCGTCGAACTTTGACACGTCGTTGACACATTTCGGGGCGTTTCTTTCTTACGTCGCTCGTCGGGACGTTGGAGCATTATTCAGCCTCTCCCGAGATAACTCGATCATAGCTCGTCCGGAACTTGTCGCGCGTTCCCGAGATTGTTGCGCGAATTCCTGATCACATGTGCGTAGCTCGCGTGACTTGTCCTCGGGGATAGCAAGGGATATGGTGAACGGACGCGATGACGGTGGTAGAGGCGCGAAAACTATTCGTGAGAGTAGCCCGTCAGCTAGACAAGAGCGAGACAGACACTTTAACTCCTCTCGTATTTCTCTCTTTTTCTTTTTTTTACCGATAGTCTTTACGGTTGGCGGTTTCCGTTGCCGTATTGCGACCAAAAAATGGCCAATGTCGCCGGGGTCACGGCCATCCAAGACTCGGGTAGTGGAAAAAGTACCATTAGATTGGTCAAACACACTGCCATGTAAGAGAGAAAACGATCTATAAGCGAAAAATCAGTAAGAAGCATGGCTCCTCACGAAGGGGCTCCGACACGGCTTTCCACTTTGCATGAAGATTTTTTTTTTTTTTCTTCTTTTCTTCTCCCCCACCTGCTTCTCTCTGTCGTCTCTCTTTTTGACTTCCCGCAACGACGATGGTTGCACGCCGTTGAATTCGCCAGCGGCGCCCGCGGATGAGCGAATCTCGTAAGGGAAGTCCCGATACGCATCGAGGGGAGTTCGATGAGCATGAGAGAAAATATCGGCTCGATTCGACGCATTCTTTGTGCCGCCAACCACTCTTCGTACTGCAACACGTTGACTTTTTTTCTTTTCTTTTTCTTTTTTACACTCTTGCCTTGCGCCAGAGGCTGCGTGTTCGCTCGTGGCTACCATCGGCGATGAAACGTTCTCTTTCTCCCTTTTTTTGTTCAATTTCTACGATGGGTTGCGGATAATTTGGACGAGTTAGCAACCGGTCTAATGGGCTACGTGTTTTGCTGATCACTTTTTCGAGCGAAATAAAAGCGCGTAAGAATAACTGCGCTAGAGAGGGAAAAATGGAAAGCTTATAAAAAAGTTGGAAAAAAGCATAACGTAAGCTCCGGATTATTTATTTTTGCGATATGGTGGAGATGGGAATTTTTCAAGAGACGGAAAATCTTTGCACCGACTCGTCCAGTTGCGATTAAAAAAGAAAAAACAAAAATAAAAAAGGAATTCCGTTTTAATTCACGAACAAGTTTCTCCTTTCGCTTCGCTGGAAAATAAATAAATTATCAAAAATGGGAGATTTAAGTTTTTAATATATTCGACGGGATTTATACCCGGTGAGTGGGAATAAAACAAAAAAACAAAAACAAAAAAGGAATTACGTTTTAATTCACGAACAAGTTTTTCGTTTCGCTTCGCTGGAAAATAAATAAATTATCAAAAATGGGAGATTTTTTAAGTTTTTAATATATTCGACGGAGGATTTATACCCGGTGGGCGGGGATCATTTTGGCCGCCGAGCGGACGCGCAGTCTGACAGTTCTGTTTTTGCGCCGGTACTCGCCTGAGCTTTGGCCATGCCGCATGCACGATACACTTCAAGTATGTAATGCTCACTTTTCTCATCCTTCAGTCTTTCTACAGTCCATTCCGTCACCGCACGGCAAGCACGCGAATCGCCTTCCCCGAGGTGTCGTACGTTCTTTACGCGTAAACTTGACGAGTAAACGCTCGAGTCGCAAAACGACTCGATGTGTCCTTGAACGAAATTGTGGTATAAATTGGCGGAGGAAATTCCTTACATATTTATGCGTTATGCGTAAAAGAGAAGGTAAGAATGCGCGAGATTTCTTGAAAATTCACGGAAACACGTGTACCACTATTTCGTTCAAATTTTGCTCGTTATTTTGAAATAATTTGGAAAAAAAAAAATGAATCGTGTGTCTGGGATTTTTTACTCGATCGTGGCTTATGAATTTTATGTTTCCGAAAATACGCGCAATTCATGTACGAAGCACGAGTTGTTACAAAAAAAAAAATAATAGAAATAAAGTGTTGGAAAAAGTATTAATTTAGAAATTAATTAAGAAAAGATTAATTCAGAAATTAATTCATTTTAATGGAAACAAAGTATTGAAAATTTGAAACGTAATCACAATTGAAAACTATTGAATTTATAAAAAATGTAGAGGGAAAATGTTCTTTTTCCCCACATAAATGTCTTTTTTTTTTTTTCATCTCTCGCGTGTTTTGTGCATGTTGACACGCAAATGCAACTCTCGAGGTAAATATACCGTAATAAGCGCGGATTCTCCGGGATTTATCGAAAAAGATGATACATGTACGCAGGATGAGTCTGATAAAAAGCTTAGCACATTTTTCTCGAAAACGGTTAAAGATAGAGAAAAATGCTCTTTATCAAAATTGTAGGACAAATAGAAATACATAGTAATCTTGAAAACATAGTTAATAATTTGGAAATGAAGAACATTCAAGATTCGTCAAGATCATCATAATTAATAAAACTGCAGCTAAAATGAAATAAAAAAAATAGGTATTTTAATTAAAAATGCTATAAATAAAATAAGATAATCAATCTTAAATTCGCATAATTATTTATTTTCAATGACTCTATTTCAAAAGCTTGTCTAACTTGAAATAACTTTATAATACAAGCTGATAATGGTAAGAAAATAAATATTGTATATATTAAATAAATAAAATGAAGTCCTTAATTATAGTCCCAATAAATAATTATAATAAAAGTAGAAATTAAATTTACTTCCGAGATTAAATAAAATACCGTTAAATTCCTAATTGAAAATAATATAATTAAAATATAATATAATTAAAAAATGAACACCATTATTATAAATATAATTAACTTAATCGTGCCCCTACTTGTCTTACAATTTTGATGAATGAGTGTCTTGTCCCATCTCTGATCGTTTTCAAGAAAAATACACTTTTCATCAGACTCACCCCGTATATTATACACGCGCGTAGCGAGTCTCGCGCACCTGTTTCTCTCTCCGGAGCCTCTCGCTGCGACGTTTCTCTTACTTTGCGAGTGACAAGCATGCCTGACGTGTATATTCGATGTCGCACCACGCGCCGCATATATGGACATGCTCTCTTCTCTTCTTTTCTTTTCTTTTTTTTTTTTGTCGCCCGGTATTAGAAGTTAATCCGAATGTCCGACGAAAGTCGCGGTTCGCCCGACGAATGTTATACCCACGATGCTTTTCCAGAGACGAGAAGGAGCCGCTGAAGGAGGAGAAGAAGATCACGCCGATCATCGACTCCGGGTTGCGCCGGGAGACCTCCATCACCTTCGACGGCAAGAGGTCCATCTCCAAGACCGGCTTCGTCGGCAAGGACTCGGCCGTCTAGATATTCTTCCGGCGTACTAGATTGTAAATCCCTTTCCGGAAAGCGCGGCGCGCGGTTTCCGACTAAAGTGTTCTCGAAAAAAAAAAAATCCAGAAATAAAAACGGAAAACTTAAACGAAGAGGAAAACGCGCAGAGCGGATCGTCGGTCGGTCGTTCGCGAGCTTGACAAAAAGACGAGACGGAGGTTTCAGCGAGTCGCTCGCCCGGAATTTTGCCCGAAGCGGGGGGGTGGAAGGGGGGTCCCTCTCTCGCCCCCCCCTCTCCCGGTTGCGCTTTCTCAGCTCTGCTTTTCGCGATTTCACGGTCGCAGCCCGACCCGCCTCTCCTTCTCCCCTCTCGACGCCTCTTACCTCGTGTACCGCCTGTTCCTACAACACCCTCGTGGATCCCTCTCGGAAGCGCTTCCCGCGTTTATTGGCGAACTTGCCCTCCGCCGAACACTTTGTCGCAAAGTTCCCACCGCGCGTCTAATTTCGAAGGCAGGCCAATAAAGGGGGGGGAGAGAGCGAGCCTCGGAAAATCTGACATTTCGGGCCGTTGAACGAAATTCCCTTTAGGATTTCAATCGCAGTTATAATTAATTATTATGATTATAATTGATTAATCATCGCAAAGGTAATGTTGAAAGACGGACGAGGGAATTTTGAGCTTGAAATCCGAAATGTCGGGCGTTCGGAAGGTTTGCCTCTCCCGTGAATATAAAAAAAAAAAAACAGCCTGTTTTTACCCCGTCGGTGTACTCGCCGAAGCAAGGAAGGAGTACGGATAATCGATAGCTTACGAAGACGAAAAGTGCAAAGTGAACAAGATGTAGTGATTGTTTTTTAGGAGGAAGCTGTGAACATAATTGTAAACTTAGCAAAGGAAAACGAGGAGTAGGTAGATCGCTTGCGCGAGAAGAAGAAGCCGGCAAGAGGAATGTACAAAACAGATAAGAAAAGAGGAAAATAATTCGTCGTGAAATTGATAGAGGCCGATTTAGTGATGAACGCTTCGAGGCACCTTTTAGATTGTCACAGTCTAGTACGCTGGATAGTATCGTCCCTTTGTAGCGCGCGACTTTAAGAAAGTCGCGCGAGAAGTCGTACTCTGTTGCGCTTAAAAGAGATGGAGGAAAGACGCACCACATTCGGAAGGAAAATATCGCATTTAAGGAGTGCAGCTCTGCGAAATGTCAGGCAACTTCGATTGTCTCATCGCTATTAAAAGAATCTTTTCTTTTTTTATTCTTCAAACATTATCGTTAACTTGGTCGAGAGTTGCGAGAGGTTTGTTTCGCAGTCATGCGAGAATTTGAGGGAATGCAAATGTTCTCCAGTAGTGTTGAAAGAATCGAGGTATCCTTGGATGGTAGGGAAAATGGAGAAAGCGGAGAGTCAGATTTATAGTCGTCAATCTTTTTTTTTTCAAGATTAATAACAAGGTATGTTGAATCGCCGCATTTATTTCGGGCGACTTTCAAGTTCGAAAACGTTGGAAACTTGACCGAAATAAAAAGGGTCCCTCTCCATTTTCGGCTATCTCGAAGAGAAGATGAGCGTTGCTCTTGTATATCCCGCGAGCGTCAACAGAGAGACACACTCCCTGTCTCTCCCCTTTCTTAAACGAAGATGTGCTCGGTTTTGCGGCCACCTTCGACAACTGTACATAAGCCTCTTGAACAATCTATTATCTCTCTTCCCTCTCGCTCATACCTCATTCCGTGTCTTTCGATTAGCTTCCGAAGCTCTACGCACTATTATCCGACATCTCCGACTCCGCGATTGTAACGTTGCAAATCCTTTGCATGTTTTTTTTTTTTTTTAATCCCTTCTTAATCCAAAGACTGATTCTTTTATATGCCAAATCGATGGAATGTTGTTCAAGCAGCTCAAGATAAATATCAATTTTCTCCCCATTTCCCTCTATTCAGTATCGTTATGCGCGTGTTCTTGTTAAGTCTTACAATCGATGTATGTGTCCGCTATAGTTATGAGTGAATTCCTACTTAAATCTCGCGTATCCCCGTCATTCGTGCATTTAATCGCGATTGTATTCGTATATTTACGTCTTTTACTCTGAGTGAGAAAAGCTCTCAATTCATTTTTTTTTGTTTAATCGTGATAATTTAAAATATATGTTTCTTGTGACGTTATAGTTACCTTGCGACGTGCGCAAGAACGGCCCACTTTTCATTCTTAAATGTCTCTTGCTTTTTTTTACTTTATTTTTCTTCTTTTCTTCTTCCTCTTATTGTTTAGAAAATTCCAGTTTTTTTTCTGTTAAGATAAAAAAATATCTTTTTAGTATAAAATTGACGCGACGTCATGGAATGAGTAGGATAAATGATTGGGCGGTTCTTGCGACACTAGACTTGTATTGCAGAAGTCAATATGATTATCGTGTTGCGATCATTCGTATTCGTAACAGGAAGCCGAAACGTTATTAAACAATCGAATTATGATAGACTTCTGACGCGGAGATCTCGATGTATTTACCTTGACATTAAAAAAAAAAAGTCTCTCTGAATATGTATGTATAGTTTAATGAAATGCAGGTGGCATTTACCAAGTGACAGGTATGGAAAAGCTTGCCAATCGGGTTTTCTCGGTCAGTCATCCGAGTGCGAGGAATGAATATCGGAAAAGCTGCCATATATACAATTAATTATATCCGATTATAACGAGTAAAGGAACAAAAAAAAATTACACTCTCTCTTATCGTAATATTTAAGATGGCTTTTGCAGAAAGAAACGCAGTTAAAAATGTGATAAGTTTTTGTAAATGCTTGTAAACGTTTTCCCTTAAAACTGTAAGAAGTATAAATCTTAAGAAAGAGAGTCTTGATAGTAGGTTTAGGGAATATTGTGCGCGAGCACGGAAAGCGTGTTCCCTCGCGAAAAGTGGATAGATTTGTCCGAGAAATAAAGAAGCATGCGCTCCATCGGATCACTGTGCGTTCAAGTGCAATGGACTTAACCGAATTTCGACATTTTTTACCAACTCTGCGAATTTCAATGGAAGATTTTAGCAATGCTGCTTAGCATCTCAAGTGTAAGATATTCTCCAGCGCTTCCTGAAATTAGAAAGGAATTATGTTATCGAAATTAAACTCGACTACATTAGTTATGTTCGTCATCCAAAGTGCAATTTTCACATTGCACTTTCATGCAGAATCTAATGTAAAGCGAAAGAGTGAATTTCCGTCATTAGGATATTGCATCTTGCACGTCTAAAATTGATTGCTTCATGTACGCGAACACGCTTTCCGTGCGAGTAGCTTTTTTACATAAGACAATTTGCCAAATACCATAGTACTTATTAGCACGTAAGAGTCAAGGAATACATATATAAAAATATATATATATATATATATTATACATGAGAATGATATATATGTATATGGAAGGAGAAATGAGAGCCGCAGAATTCGCGCGGCACTTTGCATCGGCGAGCGAGACGCATCACCGTTTCTAGCACACCTAGCTATTTTGTATCCGTTGCCAAAAGTCGTAATCCTTAATAAATAGCTTCCCACAAAAAAAAGTATTACTGCGCATCTTCCAATCTGAAGATTATTACGAGTATTATATTGAAGTTTCGTAGATGTAAGGCGTATTTTTTATGTATGCTTTTTCTGTACGCGCGACGAGAAATCACGTGCTCTCGAATAAAAAGTGAAAAAAAAAAAAAAAAGATGTTTTCAAGGTCAAAGCAAGCTGGCTGGTTCAATGGAAATCCTCTCTCGTTTGCCTGAAAAATTTTATTACGCAATAATCAATAAACAATAGTCCTTATCAAATGACGTCGACGCGTTATAACGAAATTGGGCAATCGTCTGACAATGTGTGGCAAAAAGTCGTTGACCCATCTTAATGAAATAACGACAATATCATGGTAGCGGTGTGCAAATTTGTTGAAAATTGAAAAAGCACACCCTGTCGCATGATTCTTTGAAATTGAGCTGTCGGAATTATTGGTACATTTTTTTATCTTCCCTATTACGTCCGTTTAGCTACAAGCGGCTATACAGTATGGCACTGTATTATTGTATATGTATACATATATAATAATATAAGAGTACGAAATTTATAATACTGTAAGATCGATGTCAATGAATTTACTGTATATCTATTAGATTATCGCTGCCATAAAATTGGCCGACCTCTTCATACTTCGATGCCGACGTTAGAACGTTTGCCCTTTTTAATTAACATCTGCTCGACGTTTAATTGCGGCTGTTCCGTTCGCGTGTGCCACACGTATACCTGAAATACGCAAAATGCAAAGTTTTTATCGCACGAAAATTTTGAGAAAAAAAAAGAAAGATGTCGAAAAGATGAATCGAGCGATACTTTTGTGCAACAGTCCGCCAATGGCTCCAATTGATCCCTCGTGACTATCTGTCTGAGTATCTCGCTCTCTTGATAACCACCTTGCACGTCGTATGAGAACCACGCGTCTTTGTGCTTGAGCAACAGCTCGAGATTAATGGCGAAACCTGCCATGTCGAGTGGAAACGGTCGATCCGGTTTCCACGCCGCATTAAAACTGAGTACTTGTTTAGTAGCGTTATCACAAATAGGCTTCTCCACCATTAAACCGCCAACTAAACCGACCGGCCACACACCGACTCTTTGTATTTTCTCCATCTGAAAATAATTACATTTAAATTATATTATAAAAAGTATCCTGTGTGGTATATTCAATTGAAACTAAAATCATTATTCTATAAAGGTCTCAGTTTACGTTTCAGTTGAACGTATCTAATAGTGCTAGATCACAAAGACTCCTAGGATGTTTTAATTATTAACTTAACGTTTGCTATATATTTAAAAAAAATGAAACTAAAATCATTCTATAAAGGTCTCAGTTTACGTTTCAGCTGAACGTATCTAATAGTGCTAGATCACAAAGACTCCTAGGATGTTTTAATTATTAACTTAACATTCGCTATATATTTAAGAAAAATGAAACTAAAATCATTCTATAAAGGTCTCAGTTTACGTTTCAGCTGAACGTATCTAATAGTGCTAGATCACAAAGACTCCTAGGATGTTTTAATTATTAACTTAACATTCGCTATATATTTAAGAAAAATGAAACTAAAATCATTCTATAAAGGTCTCAGTTTACGTTTCAGCTGAACGTATCTAATAGTGCTAGATCACAAAGACTCCTAGGATGTTTTAATTATTAACTTAACGTTTGCTATATATTTAAAAAAAATGAAACTAAAATCATTCTATAAAGGTCTCAGTTTACGTTTCAGCTGAACGTATCTAATAGTGCTAGATCACAAAGACTCCTAGGATGTTTTAATTATTAACTTAACATTCGCTATATATTTAAGAAAAATGAAACTAAAATCATTCTATAAAGGTCTCAGTTTACGTTTCAGCTGAACGTATCTAATAGTGCTAGATCACAAAGACTCCTAGGATGTTTTAATTATTAACTTAACATTCGCTATATATTTAAGAAAAATGAAACTAAAATCATTCTATAAAGGTCTCAGTTTACGTTTCAGCTGAACGTATCTAATAGTGCTAGATCACAAAGACTCCTAGGATGTTTTAATTATTAACTTAACGTTTGCTATATATTTAAGAAAAATGAAACTAAAATCATTCTATAAAGGTCTCAGTTTACGTTTCAGCTGAACGTATCTAATAGTGCTAGATCACAAAGACTCCTAGGATGTTTTAATTATTAACTTAACATTCGCTATATATTTAAGAAAAATGAAACTAAAATCATTCTATAAAGGTCTCAGTTTACGTTTCAGCTGAACGTATCTAATAGTGCTAGATCACAAAGACTCCTAGGATGTTTTAATTATTAACTTAACGTTTGCTATATATTTAAGAAAAATGAAACTAAAATCATTCTATAAAGGTCTCAGTTTACGTTTCAGCTGAACGTATCTAATAGTGCTAGATCACAAAGACTCCTAGGATGTTTTAATTATTAACTTAACATTCGCTATATATTTAAGAAAAATGAAACTAAAATCATTCTATAAAGGTCTCAGTTTACGTTTCAGCTGAACGTATCTAATAGTGCTAGATCACAAAGACTCCTAGGATGTTTTAATTATTAACTTAACGTTTGCTATATATTTAAGAAAAATGAAACTAAAATCATTATTCTATAAAGGTCTCAGTTTACGTTTCAGCTGAACGTATCTAATAGTGCTAGATCACAAAGACTTCTAGGATGTTTTAATTATTAACTTAACGTTCGCTATATATTTAAGAAAAATGAAACTAAAATCATTATTCTATAAAGGTCTCAGTTTACGTTTCAGCTGAACGTATCTAATAGTGCTAGATCACAAAGACTTCTAGGATGTTTTAATTATTAACTTAACGTTCGCTATATATTTAAGAAAAATGAAACTAAAATCATTCTATAAAGGTCTCAGTTTACGTTTCAGTTGAACGTATCTAATAGTGCTAGATCACAAAGACTCCTAGGATGTTTTAATTAACTTAACGTTCGCTATATATTTAAGAAAATATGACAAATTGGAATCGTTGCGAGAAAAGAAATGACTACAACACAACAACAGCAACAGCTGCAGCAACAAGACCCTATTGAAGGAAACTATCAGTTCCTAGAGCGAACTGCCTTTACCTCGCGGAAAAGCTTGATGGAATAAGTATTGTCATCATCGGCAAAGTAAACGACACCCCTGTCGGATGTTCTAAGATTCTCCCTGAGCCATCTTAGCGCCGCGTTTCGTTGCTCGACCCCGCGCGGCTTCTTCCAGTTGGGATCGTTCCTGCCCAGCTTATAATTCGGCGGGGTGGCCGCCGACAGGTGGGTGTAGATGAGGCCACTGGTCTCCAGAAACCGGGTGACCAGGGCAGTTTTTTGCGGCGCGTCCTCGACGAGGATCCAGTGGACGTTGGACACGTGGAGGAAGGTCTGCGCCAGTCGAGTGAGCTCGGCCTTCTGCACAGGCCTGGCGAACGTGGGCGTGATGACGTAGATGACCGGCCGATTATCGTCTCCTCGTCCGCGGACGTTCTCGACGAAGAGGCCGTGCGCCTCCAGCCTCTTCAGCAAGCTGTACGTCAGACCCTGCATATCCCGCAGATCCGCAATCACCGGCTCCAACTGGGATCTCACCTCTTCCCATTTCTTGTGTTCTTGATAATCTAGAAATTGATCGATAATAGATTCGTGTATTTGCGATTAATCGAGTCACGCTTGGAATTCTTCGCTGGAAATTTGATTCGCGGCTAAAATATTATGTATTACACGTCACGTAGAAATAATGGTATGCGCAGAGGTAGCGACACAAGATGAAGCGTGTGATATAAATAGCCAAGGCTTCGAAACAGCGTAATAAAGTACGAAAGTACGCTGTTCGCAATCTCTACAGATGCTGCGTAATTTGCATAGAAACTACTCGACTATCCTCTCGTTTTTCCTCATCCCTGTTTTTGAATAGAAACTTTATTCAGCGGGGAAATAGAGTTGTAATTTTGAACACGCTATAGCATCTTGAAAATTCCAATATCCCTCTCCTCCCCCAAAAAGAATATTCACGCAACTAATATTTTTTATATCTCGTCTTACAAATTATAGTAATTTATTCTCATCAGTAAGACATATACATGTCAATTTATAAATTTATTATTATCTATAGAGGAAATATTAAAATAGAAATATCCATTTTCTGAAAAATATTAATATATATTAATAATTATATTTATTTTATTATATCTATTATTAATAATAATATTAATTATTATAATTTAAGAGAATTTTCTCCTTCAAAATTCTTATTAATTAAACTACATTGTTATAGAAATAATTAATTATTATTAATATAATATTTAGTAATTAAATTAATTATAACCCAGACAGCGAAGGACATTCTATGGACATTCATTTTATGTCCATTTTACGTCCGCACGTCCATCGTACATCCGATTTAAGACATCTATTTGGTCAATATTTGGACGTCCACAAGATGTCCGGTCTTGGAGATCAAAGTTTCTCGCGAGCACGCAAGCATGTATTAATTTGTTCGTTTATCGTTACGCGATACGTTATCTTTCTCGTATTTAAGTTTCAGTTATGAGAATTATATAAAGTTTGCAAAAGGTAACAAATAAAATTAAAAATGTATTGCTCAATTTAATTTCTGATCTAAAAGCACGGGTTTCAGATATTAAATTGATTTTATAAGTCGGACAAGTAAATGTCCGGCGAATAAACGAAAATAATTTTTCATTATCTATTTAAGATGTAAAGTGCAATACGCAAGTATAAATTATAAATAAAATTTTTATATAAAATGTTTATGTAAAATTTTATATGAAATAGATAAATTATATTATTATTTAGGAATTGAAATATATATGTTTCGTTTAAAAATTATGATATGTTTAGATCATAAAGGTTGTTCTTTTTTCACACATATAATACACATTTTTTTTTAAATTATCTGTTTTATAATCGTTTTGTGCAAAAAAAAGTAACATTTAAATAATATGTGATATTGCATTAATGTATATGTGATATAAATTTTCTTTAATAAATGTATTGCTTAAAAAAATATATATTTCATCTGTTTAATATGTAAATTCAAATTTTGTATGTAATCCCTTTTTCAGCTCCTTATTACGTCCATATAAAGTCCGTTTTGTATATCTGTTGTTGCTAATTTATGTCCATTACTCATCCATCGGATGTCTTTTGGACACGTCAGGGATTAAATTATGACCACCAATTTCATATTTGGATATGCTATGGATATCCAGTGTATATTTGAGGAACATAAAACGGACATTTTATGGATATTTTCAATGTCCTTCAAGGATATTTGTAGAATATTTTATGGATATCTATGTGTGCTATCTGGGAATAGAATAATTTTTCCTCTAAAAATTGTTTTACTTGATTTTCGCAGAGCTTAGTTAATTTACACTGTGCACAGAAGTTTATTCAAACGAAACAAGGGAAAATAAAAAATCAAAATCAGTTTTGAATCGCGCACCGAAATTCGTATCGACGCGCGCGCCTTATGTTTTGTCAAACGCGCGACGCACGCATCTTTCCACGCGCGTGCAGACAGCATCGAGGCTGACGTGCTGGCACAGAAATACGACGAGGCGAAGCTAGATGAACACTCACATACGATGCTTTGGAACGCGATGACATTTAGCAGAACCAGTATCACGAAAGCCCTATTGCAGCGCAATCCGCCCCACATATTGGCTTTCGTGCTGGATTCCTCGATGAGAAACGCACCCTCGGTCATTGTTGTCGCGCCATGACACTGTTCTGCCTGACCGACCGACCGCTCAAATGTAAACACTACAAAGATTGTTAAAAAGTAGAAAGTCTGCTCAGATGACTCAGGTCTGGGCATTCATTGTGTCAGAGAGAAGACTGAGAGGTGTCATGGCCCGCTTTTAGGTGATCCCTGAAAGCAATACGCCCTCTGTTAATCTAAAAAACGTGAACATGAACTACAAAGCCAAAGTCCACGAAAGTTCTCAGAGGATAACATATATGTGCACAATTTCTGATTCTGTTCCGTGCTATGTAAAAAATGCCTGTAATACACGAAATGCCATCAGTGCTGTATAGCAAAACGCATACGTATATAAATATAAATAAATTTTTAATTTTAATTTTTTAAATAAATTTTGTGGTCCTCTCTCTCTCCCTCTCTCTCTCTCTCTCTCTCTCTCTCTCTCTCTCTCTCTCTACACATACACAAATAAACACACACACATATAATATATATATGTATATATAGTATGACGCTACAACTTTATTCTGAAATATTTGCGTTATGTTTAGAAATATATATATATATATATATATATATATATATATATATATATATTCAATTTAAAACATTACATGAAATACACGCGTTGGAATTACATGTATATATTCTATGTGTACATAAATACAGATATATTATCTCTTTTCGAAAGATATGTTAACATTGAAAAATTTAAATATAATATATATTTAATTAATTGATTCATATCTATTTATGTCGTATCACAAAGTAAGAAGTTAAAATTTGACTTCAATCGAAAAATACTGTGATCTTCCAATGTAATGTTCAAAGATAAAATAAATATTTTTCTATACATTCAATGTCATATTTATATATTTTTATTTACAAAAAAACAAAATGTCTGTTGTGGAATAAAAACCTTTTTAACCGTATTTCTATAAATCTTTTTTAATTAGCAGTAAAATGATCTTTGATATTTATCATTTTTTTAAATTATTTAAAAATGTAATTATTAATACATGTATAGAATTTGTTAAAGTAATCACTGATTCTTCTGAAGCTTTTATAATTAAGATTCGAAAAATATAGATGTCGCAAAATATTTTAAATATCTCTTCCTTTATATAAAATATAAAGAATTTATATGTTCTATTCTAATATAGTCAACATTATTTATATACTTTTATTATAATTTTCTTACCAGCATAATATTTTTATGCTTAATATTTTATATAATATAATGTACTAAATTATAAAATTTAATATAATTACAAAATAGTATTATTATTAATAAATAGATTGCACACTGTCTTTTAGTTTCTAATTATTTTCAATCATTATGCATTTCTATCCAATATATTCTCTTCTTCGAATTCTTGGATTATTATGGTTTATTGTATTCTTTTGTGTTAAAATTATAAAAATTATTATCATTTGTGTCATGCTTATTCCTTCCTATGGAGTCCATCGAAATACTTTCTATTTGTTCTCAGGTATAGATATTTAAATCACTGTAGTTGCCTTTTTCTCGATTATTGTCCCTTTTTCTTTCATTTAAATCTTTCTTTCATTTAAAATTTCTTTTATTTAAAAATATTAATATAATTAATATAACAAATATTTATATAATTTTGGTATTTCTCTTAGTCTGACACTTCCCCTTCGACTTGTCCGGCATAGATGACTCTATCAATAACTACGATCGGTATTCATTACTCACTTTTATATTTAAGATCATACTTAAAATTATCTTAAATATAAGAAAAGTCTATACGAATATCGGTGTATGTTACCGCCGGCACAGCTCTCAGGCTCATTAAAATACTCAAACCTCCTCAGCCGGCAAATGCCTTCCTTAAGATGGAGATATCATCGAGAAGGCAAAATTTTTCATTTTCTTTCAATACAGAATTTAATAAAAAAAGTTAATGTAAAATATAATATTATATAATTTGAAATGTAATACAAAATAAATTAACAATCCTTTTTTTTTACGTGGGGAAAAAAAACTCTCTTAGAAAATACTCAAAAAATATTGATCCCTTAAAAATTCTTATATCTAATATAATTATTGAAATATTTATTAATTTGTTTTCCCTAATATTATTTAAACCTACATTTCCTGATTCCTTAAAAGATACATAATATAAAATCATCTAAATTAACCACATAATAGCCCTAACAATCCTCTACTTTTTGAATGGAAAATTAAAAAATCCTAATGATCACCTAATAGCCCTAACAATCCTATTTCTCGATTAAGTGAAATTATTCGAGGAAAGCCTATCTTTAATCACATATATTTTGATTACGTGCCCTAATTACATTCTCTAACCGCATGCCCTAACCGCGTGAATAAATGTCCGACATTACGTACTATTGTACGTAAGCTTTTCTTCAGGCCAATTGAACTTACTTTTCGTTGATTCTGGCCACTTTCTCGCTCGATCTCTAATCAGAGATCGAAAAAGGAGATAAACACTCCTTCTTTTGCCGATTAATTACCGGCAAATGAGCGTAAATATTTCACACTCATCGTAACGATCGCTCGATTTTACGATCGTTTCTTAAATATTTGAATATAACTTTATTTTAACTCAAATAAAGCCAAATTACTACAAATTTCTATATACTATATTTTCTAATAAAATATAAAATTCATGTATGTGTATAACTTTTATGATATTACAAATTATTTAATTAATTAATCGTTTGGCTTTATTTTAAGTTAAAGTAAAATTTAAAAACAATATCTACAAACAAATTCTACAATGGATGAGCTATGATATAAGAAATTAGAATAAAATAAGTGCGCGTTATAAGAATAAAGTAGTATCAAAAATTGATAAAATTGTTAAAATTATTAATGCGTGCTCTTGATTTAATAAATTAGTCAAGTCTTTACAAAAAAAATTGTCTTTTCTTGATTCTCTTTTTTAAATTAATACTTCAATATATTTTCGCAATAGATGCAAAGCATTTCGAAAGAATTTATTAAAAGTTATTTAATTTAATCTATCCTAGCTCATCCATTTTAAGGCAACGGACTTACTCTACAATTCACAATCTACAATCTACAATCTACAATCTACAATCTACAATCTACAATCTACAATCTACATCTACAATCTCTACGAATCCGTTACCTTAAAGTTAAATAAAAGTTTTTCTCACTCACCGGCACTGATGCGCAACAGCGGAGTTATTGTTATCGAAGCTAGTTGTCTGTAACATACAAATATAAAATTCATTTATATTAATGCTCACAAAATGCAATCAATATTTCAAAAAATTTTTATCGCGCGGAATTTTATATCCGATGTGTAAAATAATAAGCAGAGATAACCACGTGTGGAAAATTTTTATAAAATTTTAAAACTGTTTTTTAAGAAAGTTTTTTAAAAAGTTTTATATAACTTTTATAAAAATCTTTCTCTCTAATTTTCTCTTTAATTCATTTGAATAATAAGATCGAATTATTATGCGTACGATTTATAACAATTGATATACAAATAATAAATATTCACCATCAGGTTGCTCCGCCGATGCAAGATGCCTCTCCCAGGCCTCTTCCTCCTCTCATGTTGTTGACGCGCGATACTTTCAACGGCACTCCCGCACTCGCGAGCGATATTTTTATATCGCTATTTTCGTTATTTTACGCGCGATACTAAACGGCACTCCCGCACTAATTCGGTACGATTAAAAATTTTGTCGCGCGATGTATATATTTAATATATATATACTTTGTCCGACACTCCCGGTATCGGTACGAGCGAAAATCCCATTTCATTTCGCGAGAATCAATTTCGAGCCAACAGGTCGGGAATGCAACGATACAACGAGCAAAGATTAGGCCCGAACCGGAAAGAAGACGAAACGATTGACGGAATAGAGGAAAATAAAGTTCACCAGCTCTTTTTCGCGCATAATTATCCTATCTCGTATCGAACCTGGACCCGCTAAGCACGATTTCAGGTGACCCGCACGGATGCTATATCACTAGCGCAGTACACAAGGCTGATAGACGGTAAAAGAAGAGGATACCCACATTTTTTAAAAGCTAACATTCAGCAATTTAGAAAATGGGGAGGCAACCCCTTTTACCGAGCGAAAATCGTGCCTAGGGGAATCCACTCGACTCCTCGACAGGGTTAACACACGCTAGGCGTGTGGCTGTAGGGTAGACGAGCAAAGAGAAGGGACCCATTGACGACCATTTCGAACAATCGATCGAGTTCTAACCGATTCGGGCCAAATCAATTGACGAAGCAGAGCGTGTTCATCACTAAGCCGATCGAGCGCGAAGCTCGAACCCGCGCGCCCATGTACATTTTATACTGGACCTACGTTCTGCGCGGCCGGCATCACCAAGTGCCACGTTGCACAAGGCGCGAGTACGTCGCAAAGCAACGACTCGATGAAACATCCCAGTTAGTTGGCGTCGGAAGGAGAGACTCGTTGACAAAAACGAAATTGGGATTTTGAAAACGCGAAAACGCGATAACGCGAGAATACTATAACGCGAAAACGCGATTACGAAGCACAGCCGTCCGCGGCACGTTGACGGCACCGACGACGCGAAAGGGTACTTCGCTTCCCTTTCAGGCACCATAAGATTTATCATAAATAGAAAAATTTAAAATAAATCTCAAGGCACCATCCAAGTACTAAGCCCTCCCACCGCGACAAGGTGTACCCCATGGGAGGGTTATATTATATATAATTTTTTTTTATATATAATATAATATAATATAATAATTATAATTAATAAGCTCTCTATAAAAAATAATTAAATGGAGTGAGAGTAAAAGCTCTCAAATCCTTTACTCTCACTCCATTTAATAATATAATATATAATATATAATATAATATATATATAATTTGGAATTTATTTTGAAATATAGTATATAAATTTAAATTTGCATAATAAGATTTCGATTAAATTGTGTATTTAATTAACAAAATTGAGAAAATTTAAAATTTGGTTGAAATATATTTAATTCTAATATTATAAAGAAATATTATAATAAGGATCGATGATCGAAATATCACAGCATAATCTCTTATACTCTTTTATGCATAATCTGTTTCAATTTTTAATCGCAGTAATAAATGATTGTGATTCGATAAAGATTTATCGTTGCAATACAGTTTCATGTCGTTAATTAATTTTTAATTAATTCACATTTATTAATATTCCTAGCAAATTATGTTTCAAGACTAATCATAATCGTGTTTAACAAAAAAATTATAATATACGAAGCGTTTCTCACCACAACTTTATTACTCGAGAGTCACTGTGCGAATGATGATAAAGCGGTAAGGTTTATGGCACTAATGTTTATATTTTATATTGCCAAAGTCGAACGCCGTGTTATCGATAATTTGCTGAAATATTTTATAAATTGTAAAATATACATTAACGCAGAATCTTAAGTTAATGAAGTATTTTAATTTATTGATTAAAATTGATTATTTATTAAACAATTTATCACGGAGCCTTCCGTTATGCTAATTATTTGTATCTATAATTCGATTGCTTTACTTCGCGTTCTTTCACATCCTAAATTATATTTAGATTATCAAGTAGAACGATAAAGTAACACGGACGAAATATATTTGTAATTCTAAATATTAAAATAATAATTATTGTCCGTAAAAATCGCAATTATCAAAGTGATTATTTCATATTTCAGCTCTCTATAATTTAATCAATTTTCGATTAAATTGTGTATTTAATTAACAATGATTGAGAAAATTTAAAGCATTCGTCGAAATATATTTAATTCTAATATTATATTCTAATATACAGAAATATTGTAATAAGTTTCGATGATCGAAATATCGCAGCATAATCTCTTATCCCCTTTTATGTATAACATGTTTTAATTAAATCGCGGTAATGAATGATTGCGATACGATAAAGGTTTATTGTTCCAATACAGTTTCATGTCCTAAATTAATTTTCAATTAATTCACATTTATTAATATTCTTAGCAAATTATGTTTCAAGACTAATCATAATCGTGTTTAACAAAAAAATTATAATATACGAAGCGTTTCTCACCACAACTTTATTACTCGAGAGTCACTGTGCGAATGATGATAAAGCGGTAAGGTTTATGGCACTAATGTTTATATTTTATATTGCCAAAGTCGAACGCCGTGTTATCGATAATTTGCTGAAATATTTTATAAATTGTAAAATATACATTAACGCAGAATCTTAAGTTAATGAAGTATTTTAATTTATTGATTAAAATTGATTATTTATTAAACAATTTATCACGGAGCCTTCCGTTATGCTAATTATTTGTATCTATAATTCGATTGCTTTACTTCGCGTTCTTTCACATCCTAAATTATATTTAGATTATCAAGTAGAACGATAAAGTAACACGGACGAAATATATTTGTAATTCTAAATATTAAAATAATAATTATTGTCCGTAAAAATCGCAATTATCAAAGTGATTATTTCATATTTCAGCTCTCTATAATTTAATCAATTTTCGATTAAATTGTGTATTTAATTAACAATGATTGAGAAAATTTAAAGCATTCGTCGAAATATATTTAATTCTAATATTATATTCTAATATTATACAGAAATATTGTAATAAGTTTCGATAATCGAAATATCATAACATAATCTCTTATCCTCTTTTATGTATAACCTGTTTCAATTTTTGTTCCCAGTAATGAATGATCGCGATTCGATAAAGATTTATCGTTCCGATACATTTTCATGACGTTTATCATAAGTTAATTTATTTTTGATTATTAGTAATTATATCAAATTATGTTTTGATACTAATCGTAATCGTGTTTAGAAAAAAAATTCGACAATATGCGAAGCGTTTCGCATCACTACTTTATCGCTCAAGTGTCACCATGCGAATGATAATAAAGCCATAACATATTTAACAATAGCGCGCTATTGTTTATATTGCCAAAGTCGAATGCCATGTCGATAATTCGTTGCCAAAATATTTTATAAATTATAAAATATACATTAACATGGAATATTAAATTATGGAAGTATTTTAATTTATTGATAAAATTGATTATTTATTGCAAAATAATTTTATTTATTTATTATTAATAATTTTTATGGATTAATTATTTGAAATTTATTCGATTATTTTTACCGCGCTTTTCCGAAGTCAAATTCTATAATATTTAGTTTTGCTTTTAGTTATATTTTAAAAGATTGACTTATAGCGAGCTAAATAAATAAATAAATAAATGATGTTGAAAAGATAAAGAAGACACATAAATAAATAAATAAATGATAGTGTGGAAAGAGAGAACATACTAATATTTTTATATAATAAATTATTATTAATTAAATTATTTTTATTTTTATTTATATTATTTATATTAGCAGAGAGACATATATGTTACCCTTTGAGAACATTCGTGGACATTGGCTTTGTAATTCATGTTCTCGTTTTTAATATCCACAGAGGGAGTATCGCTTCCAGGGATCAGCTAAAAGCGGGCCATGACATCTCTCAGTCTTCTCTCTGATTGTGTATAGAGTTTAATGAATATGTCAAAGTTCAATTACTTTATCGAAGTATCAATTCATTCGATTTCAATGATCGAATTGGTGCGCGATCAAATGAAATAATTTAATCTAATTTAATTTAACACAATTTAAATGTTAAATGTTAATGTCTTGTTATCGGAGTAAAATAATAATAATAATTTTTTATTATATTAAAAGTGATAAATATGATAAATGTTTGAACATATTTACATAATCTTGATATCACGGTTGTTTGCCTTGTTTTTCGAATTAATTGACGTAGTATATTTATTTAATTTTTACGATGTTAAATTTAGTTTGTAGACAACGTCTAAACTAGTCGTACCATGAGAAGATATAAAAACTGCATACTTTATATTTCTTTGTAATAATAATAAGTAACTACATTACCGACATCTTAAGAAAATTATTTACTAATTTTTAATATATCTATCAATTAATTTTTTTTTACTTTGATATAAAAATCCGTAATTTTTCAAATTTATTTACTGTAAATTTACAAGAGAATTAATATTTATGTAATTTTAATACTTTTTATTAATTTAATTGTACTACTTTATTTTTCAGTTACGCAAAATTTCGAATTTTTACGTAGAGTAAAAAATTTCAATTTTTTAAGTAAATTTTTGAGATTGTTGATCCCCTAACAGTCTCTTTTTTCGCACATGGAGGAAAAAACGATAGCTTTCCATGGCGAAATAAAAAAATGGAAAGACATTTTACAATCATCCCCTCACTGAAAAAAAAAATCTGGTTGCATTAATTAGAATTTTGGTAGATTCAACCAGTATGTCTGTAGGAAAATGGACGAACCAGAATCTGATTAATTTCTTCCTATTAAATTTATCAAATTTTCTGGTTAATAATATTAAACTCGCCAGCACCACGTCGTCTAAAATTTTTTCCATCTAATCTCAAAAGTCTGTTTAATAGTCTGAATTTCAACAAGATTATTGGACAAATTCAATCCAGATTATTGAATAAATTATTTTAAATTCAGTTTGTTAGAAATTAAACTGATAAACAGTGATGCAAGAAGAGGATGCAGCTCAAACACGCACAATCAGAGAGCTAGCGTTCTCTTTCTGACACTACTGCTCGTAAGAAAAAAAATATACTTTGGATTTAATGTTAATACTTTCTTTATATACATTTTATGACAAATATTGAATACGAGTTAAATCAAGAGTGGTTCGCCGCCAAGCAAAGAAATTAATGTAACAAGAAATTAATCAAATCCTTATAGTAAACAATTATAAGAATTAATCTAGACTTATACGAGCAATTTAAACAAATGGATGTTGAAATATAATTTTTATTAATTGAAATCAAAGCGTGATAAATCTAAGATGGGAACGCCTACAAACCTAGAAATAAAAATATAACAAAACATAAGAAAAAATATAAAAAAAAGGCATTGGGACGTTTCGACAATTACTTTTGTCTCTTCAGCCAATATTAATAAATTTTAATTAAAATTGGACGTTAGATCGAGCTTGTAGTTACTTGACGTTACGCATTTTTGTAAAGTGTGTTGGAAGTGTCGGATGGTGTCTTCGGTCGGTCTCCGAATGCAATGATTGTTGTAGAAATTGATGTTTGTCTATGTAAAAGATGTCGATTTTTGTCAGATTGATGTGGTTATTAAAGTCAAAACTAGGTGATAGTCATAATTTAAATAAATCTCTTATCAATTTCCGCATTTCTTATTGCAGAGACTTATGAAGAATAACACGAATCTCTGATTCTATTTTTAACATTGATGTTATATTGAATTGTGTTTCTCGGATATGACGGATAGATACTGACTGCGCGGATATACAATGTTATTTATAAGGAGTGTATGTTATTGTTTTTAAACGTCACTCGCACAATTAAACGTCTTTTGGTGATTAACGTTCAACAACGTTCACCTTATAAGTGAAAATAAAGTCTATGAAACGTTCTAGTTATAAAAAATCGAGTCCTATCACGATAATTAGAAATTCTTGTTCGATTTAACCAAAAAAAATGCTTTAATCATATACCTCTTGTTGGTACAATCAAACTCAGTGCTTGACTAGTGTGCACGCGCGACCCCAGATGGCGCCAGGGGTGCTCGCACTCCCGCGCGCGCGCGCGCGCGCTGAGGGCGCGTGCCACGGTCACGCTCTCTCTAGGACAGTCGGCGACCAGTCAGCAACGGGTCGACGGGGGGATAGCGTGGGTAGGGAGTGCTGGAGGGGGGTGGCTGGTGGTTTCGGAGTAGCGAGGGTTACCAGCCACACCGGCCACTGCGACGGCCGTGGCGGAACGAACGCGGCGCACTTTCTTCCGTTCCGTTCCATCCGCTCCGCTGTCGTGCGCGCGCGCGCGCGCACGATGCGAGGACGCGAGAGGAAGGCCCTGTCACTCGGCGATCAGCATCGCGAGATCCGGCGCGGCTGCGATTAATTGTTAACGGGGGTGAGTCGATAGCTCCCGCTTTCCACGAAAGAGGGAAAGCGGGGAAAGAAGGGGTTGGAAGGGAAAAGAGGGCGGAAGAGGAAAAGAGAGAAAGAGAGAGAGAGAGAGAGGGAGGGAGAGAGAGAGAGAGCTCACGTGACACGTGGGGGGGTGCGAACTGTCAGACAGTAGTACATCGAGCGTCTGCTACTACTGCCGTAGTTGCTTGTTGTGACTGTGGCAGCGACGGCGGCGACGAGGACGACGGCGGTGGTGGCGGCGGCGGTTGATGGTGGAAGTGGTTGTGGTGGTGACGACGAGGACGACGGCAGTGCTGCTGCTGCTGCTGTTTGGAGTACCGTTCCCGGCGAGAGGGAAGGAAAGTGGTCCTCGAGGTTACGAGGCCAGGGGAGAAAGTGGGTGTTGCCGGAGCGGCGGCGGCGGCGGCAGCGGCGACGGAAGTCCGGGGTGCTTCCCGTAGAAAGGAGGCAGAGGGATAAGGGAAGGCCGAGGGCGACCGGAAGGATGCTCGTCGAGCCCCGAGTCGGCATCGGCCTGTCGCTGCCCACCTTCTTGGCCCGTCACTTCGCGCCTCGTGAGTAATCGCACCCTAGAATCCTCTCCTCCGCTTTCTTCTCGGCTCTGCGCGAGTGTCACGCTCCTCCTTTCCGCCCAATCTTTGCTCACGAACGTCATCATCGTTCTTATTTAAAGGAATGATAAATATTTACAAATATTTACGAGTGTCCACGACACGAGGTGTCTTGGTCAACGCAAGAAGTCATCTTGAATATTGTCCCGCTGTGTTTACACTTTCCGGACGATCAGCGATGCATCGTCCGGGTGATAGAAAAAAACTCACAGGCGAGGAAATAGAGGTCGGATGCAAATTACGAGCGTGGATGGGAGGCGATGCGCGCTGGGCACGGTAATTGGGACGAGGGGACGCTGCCTCGACGAGCACCCTCGGGGTGCGGGGAGGGACAGAGGGGAGGCGAATCGCCATATATACGCAGGGATATTGCTCTATCTATCGCTTCCCTCGCTCCCGATTCTCTGCCATCCATTTCATCCCCTTTTCTCTCCCTCTGTCCCTCATATTTTGTCCCCTTCTTGCTTGAACTTTGGGTAAACCGGAATCATCTCGCGCGAGGTTACGACGCTCATGACGATGGAGTATTGTGCGCGACTATGCCGCCCTTTGCTCTCTCCATCCCCTTCATCCCTTCATCCCTTTCGCCACGTAGTAGCGTACAGGTGTATCGAGCTCGCGACCGCTCGAGATCTTGTATCTTTTTTTTTTTTTTTATGCTTGACGATTATCTTATGAGGTTTTTTCTTTTTTTTTTTTCTTTTCTCTCTTTTTTTTTTTTTTCTTTTCCCTCTGCTCTTTGAGCGCGACAAAGAGAAGCCGCACGTTAATTACGTCATCATGCTCCGGGTGAGTCATGGCTTTTGATCCCCCTCTCGCGAGTCAACGTTTATCCTCTCCTGCCTTTAGGGGGGACCAGCTACTATCTAACTTCCTGCATATACGTGCGTGTGCATTACGGAAAATTTCAATTTATTTCAACGCGAGTTAGTTCAATGAGCTTTTTTAATGCGCCTTGATTTTCAACGATATTACGTTCAATTTCGTACCAAAAAAAGGGAGAAAGTTTCACTCGCGCAAAGCATATTCGATACCCTCTGACATTATTGACTTTAATCATTGAAATAAAACGGATAAAATTGACTATGCGAATCTGGATTATATTCATAATTCAGACATGTAACGATACTCTTCTGGGTAATAAATTACTTTTTATAAAACACAGCGATTATACTTGAAGGAATTTAAAATGAGAGCATGCCTACTATTCCACTTATTTTTCTCGTCCTCGCTTCTTTTTAATATCATTATCTGTCCCTTTATTTGCATACACTTTGTGTCTGTTAGGATTGCACAAGATTCAAGGTATAATCATATTCGTAAAAAATGGTACTACTTGAAAATTTTCGAAAACTTAAATCTTGAGTAAATCTTTGTAACAAAAATATCTTGTATTGTATTCTCGATTTTATTAACAATTTTTATCTGATATAATTTTGGACAATTGTTTAAAATAATATATTTAACATAATCTCCATAATATAATTTAAGACAATTATTACTGTTTATGTATCTCTCATTCGTTCACGAGTAGTAATAATTGTCTTAAATTATATTATGAAAATGCTTTTGATGATTATTTTTATGAAAAAGCCAGAATGCGACTCACACGAAAATCACACTATTGTATATAAGTGCTGTATGCAAACTTTGATGCTACTAAATAATTATTTAACAATTTTCGTTGTTTATTTTATTTATTATATTAATTGTTTGTTAATGTAAATGTTTGTTAATACAATGTTTTTTTTATAAAAAATTTTATTAAAATTGTATTCTTTAAATTTTATTCATTAAATAAATAAAGTTTATAAATACATGTTTTTTTAAATTAATAATTCTAACAAGATTACAATAATTTTAATCATGGTTTTATCATGACAATTAATTAAAAATCTCGTCGAATCGTTGAGACAAGACAAGACAATGTCAAGATTAACCTTGGTATCTTATGCAACCCTAGTATCTGTCATTTAACGAGTCTAGACTCGCCAATATGATTTCTGACATGTCGAGTTTATACGAGCCGGAAATATATATATCCTGCGAAATCACCCATGGACTACGGTGTTCAATAATTTAGCAAGGTTACGGCTACCTCCCCACATCATCGATAACCATCGTCGCGATAAGGCCTGTAAGAAGTGATCGATCATGCGATTCTGCGATGCAGCCAGGACACACTAGGCTATAAGATGATGTCCCTTGCCCTCCTCCCCCTTCTCGATATATACTTTGCAACCGCCAATCCCTCTTGTCGCGTGCGTGCCACTATCACCCTCGAGAGGATTACAGTCGCGCTATTCTGAGTATCTGCAAAGTAATAAGTAGCGTATACGCACTTGTGTGTGCGTACGAGTGGAAGGTTTTAAACGTCACATATGGAATTACGATACTGCCGTATAAATCGAACGCTTTAGTTTCCATAAACTTTTTATTTCAACCGAGATCTAAATCGGACATATATTTGCCCCATATTTTATTTTTTTTTATCGCTTTAAAAATTCGGATCACAAATTATCTGCTGGGAATCTTCAAATTATTATTAGTGCTCTGTATGATTATTTTTATTATTTTTCAAGTAATAATAATTAATATACATTTTAAGAAGTATTTAATATATAATAAGAATTATTTAATATATATAATCTTTTTTTTATATTGATTACAATCAAATTTATTATTTCAAATATTATCTATTGTTTGCAAATCCGACGAAACAATATTTTCCACATTTGATTATAAGAAAAAAGTTTTATAATAATTATTGAAATGAAGATCATTAAAGGGATTTACGCTGATGGATCACAACTGACCTGGTGGGCTTCACTTTTGCAATCTTTATATATAATTAATGTTATTTTCTCTCATACGCGTGGGAGCATATTTAGTTACGCACAATAATGTGAATCATGCAACGCGTTAATGCAGCATCAATTTTATCGGAATCGGAAGTTCGACCCCCGTAAATTTGCCTTAATGTCAGCAAATTTGTCGACGCGCATGATATATTCAATATAAGTTATAATTGTACATCACGACTCTCTCTCTTTAATTAATTTCCTTTTGCAATGGATCTCCTTAAGGATGTTTTGTACCTATTTTCAAAATATTGAGAATTTAATGAAAATTGTGCAGAATATCCTTACATATGTTTAGAATCTTCAGTACAATTTTTAAATCGATTTACTAAAGCGTTCGCAAGTTATAAGGATTTTAATTTGCACCGAATTAACATGTGTTCTTATGGGAAACGTATAACCACGTCGATTCAAATGACAAAAACACATAGAAGTAACATTCAGAATTTGTTTAAAATTTGCAAAAGTTTAGATACAGAGGAAATATTTGGTCAAATAATATTATACAAGTATTAACTGGTTAAAAAGATATTAAACATAATTTAATGAAGTTAGCCATGTATCTGTCACAAGTCGAAATTCTCTGCCAAAAGTTAATAATTTCGATTAACAAAATTCGGAATATTTCAGTAAAAAACGCAATAAATATTAAAAAATACAAAACATCTTTAAATCTTTATTCGTAATTAATTAAAGCAAAAATTAGTAAATATTTTTTGAAACAAGACCGAAGAAGGTTGAAAGAAATTGACTCATGTTCAATTCATCCCCCTGTTCAGAATATCGCGTGGCTATTGATAATTGAATAAACCTCGGCTATTCGGAAAATCAATTTTCGAGAGATGAATGGAATCTAAAATCAATTGGCTATTATTAAATCGCGCTCCGCCCAAAGCGCCCTTTTACTTCGCGTCTCTGACCGCAATATTCCGGGGGTACCGTTCTCCATTATCGATTATACTACTGTTCGACTAGTGGAGTCGCATTCGATTAGCGGAGGCGCGGGCGAGATAAAGGGCACAGCGGCGATCCGTAGAGAAATTTCGTCTCCGTCTCCTCCTACGGAACGTGCCGGCCATTCGCGTCGAGCAGTTCGATGACTTCAATAACGTAACAGATGTATAGCCCAAAGTTCATAGCCATTCGGTGGAACGGTAGTAGTGACACCCTGACATTTCTCAGACGCGAGCGTTTTCAGAAAAGGTCAATCGATATGGAGCAGCATTCGGGGGATAGGGGAGAGGCATAGGAAAGACAGCTCGGAAAGACTATTCCATTGGGAACAGTCGCTCTCTTTCCCCTGCCGTCCCAGATTTCCCCGGCAAAAAATATGCATGCGGCAGAATACCTAAACAGGATGCCGATAATGGTGGCTCGTGCATGAGGAATTGACGAAAGAGCACCGTAGGTCCCGCGAGATCCCGCGACGGGAAATGAAAAATACGAGTGAAAAATCGCCGCGTATTTAAGAGTGATCGAGGATTATACGGATTCGAGAGATTAATTCGTTTTATTTTAAACTTTGCCCCTTGCAGCTTACGTCAACCGAATATTCTAAACCTTTGACATTAATTATACTGACAAATATTTAGCCCTAGTATCGAATTTTGAAGGGAGAGAACGAGTCTTATTTATCATAAATTGTATACAATATTTAACATTTTTAAGTATCTTGCTAATTAAAATTTTTAGGATTTTAAAAAGATAAATAATTTTATAAAATATTATTGATATTTCAATTAGGGATGTTTTGTATGTACAATCCCAGCAAAAAGTAGCTGAAAATCAATATTGATGAATATATGAGAAATTGTGTGAAATAATTTGATCTTAGCTACAGTGCAGAGATGTATTTTTTAATATTTATTGCGTTTTTACTGAAATATTCCGAATTTTGTTAATCGAAATTATTAACTTTTGGCAAAGAATTTCGCCTTGTGACATATACATGGCTAACTTCATTAAATTATATTTAATATCTTTTTAACCAGTTAGTACTTGTATAGTATTATTTGACCAAATATTTCCTCTGTATCTAAACTTTTGCAAATTTTAAACAAATTCTGAATATTACTTCCATGT